ACATTCATCCATTTTAAATACACTAACCTCACTCATTTGTAACAAATAAGGCAAAAATGTAATTAATTCAGAAAATCTTTTCAGGACCCCACCTTGATGTTTCGGGACCCCACTTTGGGTCCCGACCCCAACTTTGGGAAACACTGCTTTAGGGGAACTGTACCCACCACTGAAAATGAAGCATTCGAACAATAAAATCCTAAGAACTTGTACAGAATCTGCAGCTCGGTGACGACCCACACTTCGACAGCAGCTGTAATGTGTTTAGCCTGCCTGATGCTGACCCAACTCATTCCAGAAGATGCAAGGTGGTCACACACGTACCCTCATTCCTCGGCCTAGCTTTCCTATCCAAGTCAATTTCACAGCTCGGCTGTAGTGAGTTTTTCCCCATTTCGTCCCTTTCAAACTCAATTTCAAAGCGTTCTGGGAGACAGCAGTGTCCTCGCTGTTGCTCGATCACATTTTCCCATTAATTTAAAGCCACCGTCGATGCCTTCCGATTACTACATGAATAATAAATAGGTCTTTTAGTGTCCTTGTGGTGGGAGAAGCCCCATTTAATTTACTGTCTATTTAAGTATAATAAGGTGACTGTTTTTTTATAGTAAGAAAAAGAAACAGCACACTCAGACGCATGCTGTCCAAGACCTAATAAACTCCCAGTCGGTTTGTGTTTACAGCGAGCTGTTAAATACTGTCAATTTTAAACCTCTAACCACAGAATATTGTTTAGGGTGACATGTCTCCAATAACATTCCTCACACACGTGATCTAATAGTTAAACACTCACCTGTCAGGATAAATAACTCCTTTCATATTTCAGTATATTTTCTTTCACACACTTGAATCAAAATCTTCAATATGAGCCCAGCTTCGTATTTGCGAGCAATTAAATATTACGACCAGTTCGTTCAGTGGTGTTAAGCAGAGAAAATAAAGTCAAATGAGATAAGTGAGAGGGTGGAGGAATTGACATTTTGTTGCATCTGTCAGAGAGCTGCAGGCGTTACGTACAGGAGAAATGTTCTCCAGTTTATGAGTTTTTAACTGCAGAGATCACAGATGTTTGGCTCCAGTAATCTTCATTCAGTGGGGTTCTCCTGATTATCATAGCATTAATGCTACGTATGAAGCCACCATTAATAATTCAATACCTTGTCTACCTCAATTAAGGACCTCCCTCTGGTCTGGTCTCATGTCCTGTTGGTACAAGTGCTCCTCCGCAGGATGACTGTCGAGGTGCTGTGTCTCCACCTAAAGGTAACCCAGGGAACTGAGGTGTCCCACCTGACGAAACACTGAACTGATGGGCAGGATAATCCCATCAACTGAGCAGCATTTAAATCAAACCCAATTATGCATCTCTGTCTTGTTTCATGACACTTCAGGCAATGATTTAGGGAGATTTAAAGGAAAACAATGCATGGATCTAATTATAGTTGCACATCTATACAGTTTCTCATTTAAAAAAATCAACATTTTGAGAAGAAACAGGCATTAATTAGTCTGGATACATCAAGCACAACTTTATTTTATGCCTAAAACAATAAAACAACCTAATCCCCTACAGGATTTTTTCAATTCTTTATTTTTTTAAAAGGTTCCTCTAATCTCGTTATGCACACGTGTAATGACAAAAAAGGCATTCTATTCTATTACACTGCAAAAACTGTCCACCTAACCAAGTTTTATAATCTTATATCAGCCAAAAAGTCTTTTTGATCTTGTTTTGAGACTGATTTACTAAACAAGAACTGATTGTGTAAAAATAATAATCTTGTTTTCAGAATGTGTAAGAT